ATATATATATATATATATATATTTATATATATATATATATATATATATATATATATATATATATATATATATATATATATATATATATATATATATATATATATATATATATATATATATATATATATATATATATATATATATATATATATATATATATATATATATATATATATATATATATATATATATATATATATATATATATATATATATATATATATATATATATATATATATATATATATATATATATATATATATATATATATATATATATATATATATATATATATATATATATATATATATATATATATATATATATATATATATATGTATATATATATATATATATATATATATATATATATATATTTTTTTTTTTTTTTTTTTTTTTCTACATAAATATAAAAAAAACACTGCCTCCATGACTTCTTCACTTCAGGTGGGCTTTTCCAGTTAATTCTTGATAATGTTGTTATTTTTAGTAATATTATTTATTATATGCATATTTATATTTGATTTAATAATAAACTAATTTAGATTTGTGGGGTTTCGGAGACGTCTGCATCAGCATATGGGGCATAAGACCAGGACTTGTGTTTGGATAGAACTCTGACCACACTTTGTTTTTATTGTTTATTTATTCCTTTGCTGGAAATTAGAACTGAATTTAGAAATAGTTTTAAAACAAATCTTTGCCCTTAACAAACAAAATTAAATATGTAGGCTGATGGATGTGAGTTCAGTTGAGTCAGTTTCCACTATTCCCTCACTCCAGCAAAGTAAAGGAATAAAGAGTACAAGTAAAGTTAAGAGAAAGAGGCCGAATGTAGGAGGCTCGTTCTTTATCCTCGCGCTGCAGATGCTCTGTTTAACCTGCAGGTGAAGTGTTCAGTTTTTCCACTTACAGTACTAAGTCTGCCAGTGTAAATAGCAAATGTGCCATGGTGTGACGCAACTGACTCTTCAAGGGAATGAGAGATGAGACTCTGATTGGTTTAATGCACGTTATGCTCAAAACACACCTATAACTCATTAAGAGAATAAGCTCAACCCTTTTAGACCATGTGCCAGGGCACAGACTGTATTTTTCCACCCTTAAAATAGCAAAAGTGGATTCGGACACGCCCTTAATGCTTTTGCTTCATGCACTTTAACCTTTGCGCCTAGATCGTTAAAATAGCAGCCTAAATGACTTTACATCTTGTAAAAGGGGGCATAATAGCTCCCCTTTAAGTACTCTACCCAACACTATTTACGACACATACTCTCTATTAGATGATGTGTTTTTCATTTTGGTTTACATTAACTGTCATATATAATAAATGGTTTGTTTTTCTCTGTCTTTCACAGATAATGAGGGTGGAGAGGTGTCTCCACCTGTAGGCGCTGGAGTGGACAGCAACAGCTGGCATTTCCGATATGGGCCGGGTCCCGGAGGCCCTCCGCACCTGAAACCCGGTGAAGTTCCTCCCGAAGCCTTCATCATTCCTGGATCTCCGGCCATTATTTCCATCAGACAAGGACAGGACGGTGACGACAAGAGCGACTTTATTACCTTTGGGAAAAAGGAGGAGGCCAAGAAGTTAAAGAAGAAAAAGAAGAAGGAGAAGAAGGATAAGCGGGAGAAAGGGAAGGATGATGATGATTAGAGAGACAGAGGAAGGATGTCTTTTAAAAGACAGAAGTCTCAACGAAAGTCTGTAGAACAAAAAGCGTGCGTTTATTAAGTCTGAGATGCATATTTGGGAGCTCGTCCAAATGTTTTCTTTTTACAAAAACGTTCCTGTTCGATTACACAAATACATGGCATCCCTTTCCATTTCTTAATGATGAAACTGATTAATCTTGCCTGTTAGATTACTGATTAGTGTTCTCTACAATTCAGACTGGAGTTGGTACGTCTGTCTTTTTCATCCGATTGGCTTTTGTTTTCCTTTTGATAGGAAGACAAAATCTGATGTATAATGTTTGTTAGCTGTGTGCCGCTTCAAGTGTGTTAAAATGCAGGAGGGAAAAAAAAACTGCACATGCTGGTGTAAATATGCAGGTCGAGGTGTGTGAAGACGCTAAGTTAACGCTTTTTGCTCATTCACTTCTCCTGGTGCAGGATGGGAGAAACATCCTGTAAAACGAGAGACGCTGATACATATTTTCACACAGAGGACACAAAAAAAGTCTCACATCCTCGAAATAAAAACGAAAACAACAAAAAAAACAGTGTTTATCAAAAAAAAATGTACACCGAATGATGGAATGCACTTTTATTTTGCTTTAATTTTGTTACCAGCAAATGTTCTCCAAGGTATAGTATATATGTGAGCTGTTAGTCCCATATATACACACAAATACGCATATATATATATATAGACAAACACATCTAGTAAACAGGGTCAAACATCAGAGCATCTCACAAAACCTCTCCGGCTCTGAAACATTCATAACCTGGCAAACTAGTTAGGTTTTGGGCAGAGATTAGTGAATTGAAATATCACACAAACAGAGATCAAACTCTTTTGGGAGCCTGGTTATGTGCTCTGTTGTTTATAGGGATGGCTGAGAATGTTAATGCATTATAAACAGTATTACTGTTGAATCACCAAACCTTAAACGCATCATAAACTATCCCTAACGTAGAAACGGCATGAGGTTTATGCCCTTGAATTTTTCTATGACGTTGCCTCGTACCTGTAGTCCCCCCCACCCACCTTCATTCACCCTAATTTTGTGCCTGCTTTCTCAGCTCAGTATGTCTACAGTAGTATCATCGTACTACACCAAAAACCTAGTCGACCTCCTTTCTCCTTGCTGTCTGGAGGACCAACGCACCCCAAGAGCAAAGAACACAACGTATTAGCTAGGGCTTTTCCAATTTTGGGCAGGGGTTTTTCTCTCGTGCGCCGTTTTTTATAAGCTTTAAGTCGACTTGATTGCTACTGTACAGAGTCTATCTCTCTTTCTCTTGATCTCTCTGCTGGGTAGGCTAGCTCTAGACATTGTGGTGTACTTATGTAGTATGGAGTAATGCAGACAACGCCTTTCAAGTCACACACGCCCCCGCAGAGGACAGACGCCCCTCCCACAGCGCTGTCATATGCAAATGATCCAGCGCTGTCCAATCAACCTCAGCTCTGTCTCTGTATAAGACTTTGTATTTCTGCTGGTCTCTCATCGGTTCATTCTCGGACAGACGAGGAAAGGGAGACGATGCATGTGGGGTTTAGGCAAGGGGTGGAGATTATGGAGTAAATGCCTGTTCACACTAAAAACACTGAAAAAAACACACATTTATTAAGGTAACTCAATTGTTTTTACAAACTTAAGTGGATTGAACATAAAATAATTAAGTTGTCCCAAAAAAACCTTTATAATTGTGTTGTTTTAGCTCATTTTTAAATAAGTAGATTGAACAAGTCATTTTTGAGTGAATGATCGTTAGTGGGGAGACTCGGTGGCTCACAGCAAGAAGGTCACTGGTTCGAGTCTCGGCTGGGTCACTTAACATTTCTCTGTGGAATTTGCATGTTCTTCCCATCTTCTCTGGGTATATATAAATATTAGGGATGTCAAGATCTGAACATGTGATCGAAAATTGTGTCTGATCACGCAGTTTCAGAATCGATTGGAATCTTCTTTAAAAAAGTTTTATGTATTATAAAAGTATCGGATCGGTAGATTCTCAAAATCAAATGACTCAGACTCGAATTCGAGGGCAAAAAAACTTTATCGGACATCCCTAATTTATATATATATATATATATATATATATATATATATAGAGAGAGATAGAGAGTGAGCTCACGGTGTGGGTGGCGGGAGAGGGTGACAGATACTGAATGTGATGTAAAGTTTTGGGTGGGGTGCGGTATGGTTAGAGATAGGGAGACACACACACAGGGGCGGATATACACTGGCGTTGAGAGAGTGTGAGAGGTACAGAATCTTACACGTGTTAATTTATACTTCTGAGTTATATTAAGTAATATTAAGTCCAACCAACTAAGGGTCGCTCAGGGTGGGGGAGGTCGTCGCGGGGGAACTCACGCAAGAGCAACAAAAAAAGACCCAAAGTGAGCGTCACTGTGTGTGACCGTCTTTGAATAGAGTGTGCGTGTGTGTACATGTGGATGTATCTAGTGTGTTTCAGTAAGTGTCTCTCTTATATAT